CTCTCTCTCTCTCTCTCTCTCTCTCTCTCTCTCTCTCTCTCTCTCTCTCTCTCTCTCTCTCTCAATCTCGATAGACACTCACGACAGCGATAGTTGGAGCTTCGGACGTATTGTCGGCTCGCGGCAACGGTCGCGGTAAGGCTGCTCTGCTGTAGAATCCGAGAGGATCGCGTATCCTCGCACATCCTCCTCCGTTCCCTCTCTCCTCGTCCTGCGATATTCGGCAATTATCGCTATTATAGTCTCGAGACGATTCTTGTCTCGAGACATTGTTGACGTCGCGGATCATCTCGCTGCCTGTCTCGGCGCTCCCGTTTTTTTCCTCCTAGGTTCCCGTGACGGCTGCGTTCGCTAAAAGTAAACACAGCTGACAGAATACTGTCTACTTGCGATACTGTGTTCTCGCTCCGCAAGATTATAAACGGTATCAGATTTATGCTTCCTGAGCGAGCGATAATGCGGCATAATTTTATACGAGGTGTGATCAAAAAGTAAGGTGACTTTTCATTTTTATAAAAAAATATTCATTTATTCATCCAAAATTATGTTATCCCCTTCAAAATAATCCCCCTCTGATACAATGCACTTGTGCCAGCGCTTTTTCCAGTCGTCAAAACATTTCTGAAATGCACTTTTGGGTATTGCCTTGAGCTCCTCCAGCGATGCAGCCTTAATCTCCTCAATCGTCGCAAATCTTCGTCCTTTCATAGGCCTTTTCAATTTTGGGAAGAGGAAAAAGTCGCAGGGGGCCAAGTCTGGTGAATACGGTGGCTGAGGCATGATGATAGTATTGTTTTTGGCCAAAAAACTACTCACTAGTAACGACGTGTGCGCAGGTGCATTATCATGGTGCAGAATCCATGAATTTTCTTTCCACACTTCCGGACGTTTTTTTCTTATTGATTCACGCAAACGCCGCATAACCTCAAGGTAATACTCCTTGTTTACGTATGACCTTGTGGTAGGAATTCTTGATGCACAACGCCATGGTAATCAAAGAAAACTGTGAGCAAAATCTTCACATTCGAACGAACTTGGCGTGCCTTTTTCGGTCTTGGCTCTCCTGGGCTCTTCCACTGGGATGATTGGGCTTTGGTTTCGACGTCATAACCATATACCCATGTTTCGTCACCAGTTATAACCCTTTTGAGCAAATCAGGATCATCATTGACGTCGTTCAACATGTCTTGGGCGATGTTCATGCGACGCTGCTTCTGATCAAAATTAAGCAGTTTTGGAACGAATTTCGCTGACACACGTGTCATACCCAAAACATCCGTTAAAATTGATTGGCATGAGCCAAACGATATGTTAAGATCATCAGCTATTTCTCTAATCGTGATTCGACGATTTTTCAACACAATTTCTTTCACTTCCTGAACATTTTCGTCGGTTTTTGACGTGCTGGGGCGTCCAGAGCGAGGTTCATCGTTAACATTTTCTCGGCCCTCTTGGAATAACTTATACCATTTATAAACACTTTTTTTGCTCAAAGTTGACTCACCGTACGCCACTGTCAACATTTCAAGAGTTTTTGAACACTTAATACCATTTTTTACACAAAAATTAATACAAACTCTCTGCTCCATTATTTTCAACAGCAAAAAATCGCCGAGCACGCAAACACGAGTCTAACCTTTATGCCTCTCACATAAAAACAACACATGCTATATAGTCAAAACTGTGAACATATGATCGTGACGAGTGTACCAACACAACAACAAAAAATTTTGAAATTAGAGTGTACAGACCGCGCGAAATTCAAAAAGTCACCTTACTTTTTGATCACACCTCGTACTAAATAGTGAGAGAGCGATTCACCTGATCCTGAGCGGTGTGGAGTTGTCGATCGCCGCTTTCTAGTCCCTCGATGTTCTCCGTTTCTCCAGTCCTGGTGGCCGGCCAGGGAAGTCGGGGGGGAGGGGCACAGAGTTGGGGGACGCGTTGACCTTTCTCATTTGCTCCGCTCGCAAAAGTCGCATCCAATCTTTGTTCTAAGGACGTTCACAAACAAACACACGCCGGCACGCGATATCCGAGTTTCAGTTTCAATGCTTGGCTGAGCACACTTTAACTGTGAGTGACTCTACGCCATTACTCCGAACAGTGCTTCCATCGTATGTAGATTATGAACAAGGTGCACTTTCAAATAGTGTAACCTATGTTGGATAGAAACTTGGAGATAGTGCTATAAAGTTTTATATTCCCCGCATTAAAGGAGAGTTCGTGAACATCATCTTGAGTGGTGTATCCAATGTTATATATCTCTGTAATTAACTTGTCCGATTCAGCAGAATGAAGAGGGCATTTAAATAGAACGTGATATATATTACTTTGTCTGGTTCTGCATTCGCACGTATCCTCTTTTATAATGTTCTTATCCTTTAGGTGAGTGTTCGTACGTATATGGTATGATCGTAACCTTGCCATCAACGAAATAACATCATGCTTGACAAATTTGAGGTCGCTGAACCATGGTTTATTGGCTAGATTCGCAACTTTCAGACGATATCTGATACCTTTCCACTTAAATTGTTTATTCAGTACTTTATGAGATAACCTCATGAAATCGCTTTTCAAGCTTGAAATGAGATCATCGATATATACAGTCTTGCTAGGATCGATTCTGTCACGATTTGTGGCAGATTTTGCTAACTGGTCAGCTGCTTCATTACCAGAGATTCCTATGTGCGCTGGTGTCCAGATTAGAGTAATATCGATGTTCGTAGATTTAAGCTTTCCCAGCAAATTGGCAATCATTAAGATTGGATAGTTGGGCTTTTTTTTGTTTGTTAAATTCTTTAAGGAGGAAAGCGTGCTCATAGAGTCTGTACATATAGCGATCTTGCGTTTCTTTAATTTGGGTATAATGTTCAAAGTTTCAACAATTGCTTGCGCCTCAACATTTAAGATAATTTTAGTTCTTGTATATGGAAACGATAATCTGATATCTGGGTTGGTACAGAAAACTCCAAATCCGGTATGCCCCTCTGTATTTATAGAGCCATCAGTATATAGTATGCAGTCAAAATCCTGCTCTTTCAAGATAGAATTAAAAATCTTATTAATACCTGTTATCGACATCTTTTTTGAGCCAGAATAATAAAAATTTCCAACTCTTCTTCTGTATTTACTAATATTTTTGAAAGATGTGGTATCAATATTGAAGTTGTTAAATTTCGTATTTAACGGGAAGGACAAATGGCCTTCAAGTCTTTTAGATTCAATGTTTGGAATGAGATCCTTGTATGGATACAAGGTAGACCATGATCGAGTTTTTATCTGGATTTCTGGCTCCTAGGAGTCAAATGAGCTCCCAGGAGACTCGTTACGTGCGATGTGAGAGGGAATAGGCGATGTAGGAGCAGGATAGGTTGTAGTTTGGTAAGCGTCTATCAAACCTCTTATGGAAAGTTTGATAACGCAAAAAAGACGCCTAACAACTAGAGGCCACTCGCCGCATTGGTCCAACATAATATTAGTGGGAGTAGAGCGCATGAACCCAAGAACACACCTCAATAATGCATACTGAACTCTATCTAGTTTGAGGGAGAGAGAGGAGGAGAGGCCCAAGAGAGAATACCCACCATAATCTAAAACAGATCTGATAAGACCACGATACACGGAAAGAATGAGTGTAGGGTGAGAGCCCCATCTTATACCCGAAATAGCTTTAAGGATATTTATTCTCTGCTTGCATTTATCTACCATATAATTAACCTGACTTTTCCAGGAAAGAGCGGAATCGAAAATGACTCCCAAGAATTTAGCTTCACCAGATAGTTCTACCTTTTGATTATTATAACTAATTTGGATATCCAAAGAAGAGTAAACTCTGTTGACAGTTGAGAATCTAGCAGTTTTATCGAAAATACAGTATATAGTTTTAGATACAGAGAGCGTTAAGTCTAGGTCTGTGAGATTTTTCCCCAGAAGGCTTAAATTATGATTCAGTTTGGTGGTAATTGTTGAAATTAAGCTATGCTTGAAAAAAATAGCCAGGTCGTCTGCATAAGCTAGTACACGCACACCATCTTCCAGGCCGAACGAAGTACCGGAAGAATAAATATTATACAAAATTGGACTGAGGACAGAGCCCTGAGGAAGACCAATAGACGTTTTTCTAACACCAAGTGATACACCGCCCTGAAAGCACTCAACAACTCTATCAAATAAAAAGGCCTATATTGCTGATACTATGTTTTTGGGAAAACCCATGTTTACCAGGAGGCAGCAAAGTTTGTTAGGATTTACATTAAGTCTGTTCTTTGTAGCTGCACTGCTGAACTAGTGCAATAAGTTAGAGTAAGAAAACGTATATTTGTCTTACTTCAATATATTACACCAGTTCAGCAGTGCAGCTATAAAGAACAGGCCTTATATCAAAGGCGCCTTTGATATCAAGGAATAGAACACAGTTTTTTTTTTCTTCTTGAAAGATTTTTGGATGTAACTTTTCAGGTCAAGTATGTTGTGTGCACACGACTTGCCCAAGCGAAAGCCTCTCTGCGCGAAAGGTATAATTGCCTTTTTAAAGTAAATTGCCTAAAGATTTTTTCATATAATTTAGCAAGGTTGTTTGCTAGAGATATAGGTCTTAAATTAGTTCCATCTCCTTTTGGGATAAAAACAAGAATGTACTTTTTCCAAGAAGAAGGAATTATTTCTTGAGTGAAAAAATCATTAAATAGCTTAAGTAAAATATCTAGCAGTTATCAGAAATTTTTTAATTATTAACCAAGTTATCAAGTCAGCACCAGGCGACGTTTTCTTCTTTGGAAGAGACTTTAGAGAAGCCAAAAACTCAGTCTTCCTAATGGCGTCATCCAAGAGCTCTTTATTTGAGAGGGTTTTCGTAGGAAGATTAGTTATCAGTTTTTTAAAAGGCGATGCTATGTTGTTAATAAATCTATTACTGATAGCCGAGGGAATGTTTGTTGAAATTGTTTTGTCAAAGTTATTCAAGACTTTTAGTTTTTGATTATCAAATAAGCCCCTATTCAGATCTTCAATTCTTTTACTATTATTGAAAGCTCTCAGGACGTTCCATACCTTTCTTGGTTCAGAGTTTAAATTTAGCGTATTACAAAAACTTTTAAATTTTTTCTTCTTGATCCTCCTCAGTTTCCTATTCGCAATTCTACTTTCCTTCTGATATAGAGCAAGCTATTCGGAATTTGAAAAAAGTTTATATCGTTTGTACGCGATTAACTTATCTTGAATAATTTCGCGACAGTCATCGTCCCACCAGGGCGATGGTAGTCTTCAAGGTGTGGTACTCTCTCCAGGTTTACGCGCTCCAGCCTCTATTAAAGCTTCATGGATGAGCCTCTCAAGTTCAGCGTAAGCCTTGGATGGATCAGAAAACTCCATAGAGTTACGATAGTCTTGTAGATGAAGAGAAGATTCTTCAAGTCGGTGAGCAAAGAAATCCACTTTGCTGACAGTGTAATGCGACCGCATATGAAGTCTAGTTGGAAGGATATGATTAATGTATATTATTATTGGGTAGTGATCACTACCATGCTTCTCATCACACGTTCCAGTCTACCTGCATGCTAAGGTTGCTAGAGACGAGGGTAAGATCAGGAGAGCTAGTGATTTGGCCGTTAGATGAAGACCAGGTGGGAGTGTCATGATTGGCAATTAGGAGATCAAGATCTATTAATATATCGTGGATAATTTTGCCAGTGGTGTTCGGAGTAGTGCAAGAGGAAATCCAAGAAGGATGACGCATTTGGAGAGCAGGGAGGAACACTCTGCTTCACAGTGTCCAACAGCAGCGCACTTGGCACAAATTCTCGAAGATTTAGTGCTGCGACACTGTTCTTCAACATGTCCGAATCTTTGACATAAGTGACATCTTATAACCTTTTGAATATAAGGCTTTAGATTGATAATTTTCCCGTATAGGGAGGCTCTGTCTGGGTAAATAGATTCTTCGAAAGTGATTATATAAGCAGATGCTTTCCTTCTGCGTGGAGTATCAGAATTTGTACGATCAGATGTTTTATCAGGCTTGGAGATACCTTTAACTGCCACGACTTTCGGCCATGAGTCCAACCAGCCAGGCGGAGGAGAGAGGTTCTCTTGGATTTCCTCGTCACTGTCAAAATTGTTAATATCCCAGGAAATGCAGGAACGTAGTATTTTGTAGTTAGGGATATATGCTATCCAATCTGAATGCGAGAACAGAAGATCTCTCATTTCCATAAATCTTCCTACTATGGAATTAGCAGCGTCTCTGTTATTAAATTTAACAGAGAATTTGCTGTGACCGACGTTTTTTAAATCATATGCTTCATTCCAAAGATCTCCCATTATTTTGAGCGCCGCTTTCCCCAACTAAAGTTCGTTAACAATGGGGGGCTCTTGACAAGCTGATAATGATTTGGCAGAGATGAACCCTTCGATACGTACCTCGAACGGTTCTAGGTGCGAAGGAGGGTATTTATTATTGCTTAATTTAAGCAAATGTGGAGGCACGTCTCTGTAGGGCCGTTTTTTCGCTTCATCCTTGAATGAGTTAGACTCAGATTGCGTGGGATCATTTACTACATCTTCGCACAAGGCGTTGGATTTTCGTTTGGTGGACGCTCTGGCTGTAGTTTTAGTGGTTTTCAAAGTCTCTCGCGATTGCGAGTCTTTCTCCGCAGTCAACTTGGGTGACGTCATCTTGCATCGAACCAACGGCAGACAAAGAGTCAGGCAAAAACTGATGTTATCACGATGTAGAGGTAGAGAATTATCTCTATTTTCAACGGAATCTTATAAGATTCACGC